TCCCTTCAGGATTCCAAGTCTAGGCTTGACTCATGGTGCAGTTTGGTGATTTCCGTAATATACTTCCTATCCATGTCCACCGTCTTTTCCTAATTTTCTCTTCAGCCGGTTTGTTCTCTCTCATAGTAGACTGTTGCTGATAATATCCGGCCAATGGCTTTTGAGTATCTTGTTAAGCGTCAATAGAAACTAGAAAACACTGAATAATTGTTTCATCTTGGTTTGTGACTCCTCACCAGTGCTCACTCACAATTCTAACCAAGATCAAACAAAAAAGCTTCAGATCTCATCGCTTATATAGTTTTTTACATCCAGCAAGACATTCTATTGTAGCGTATCAAGTGAACTCTGGAACGACTGTTATTACTTGGTGTTGTTGTTACAAGTAAAACAACACCAAGTGAATAACTTAAAGCCCTAGTTATTCCTATACACAAATACATCACAATAGCCGGGCAGTTTAATGTATTCTTCATGAGAATGTAGATTTGACGAGGACAGTTGTTACATAAGAGCCACCATTTGTATTTCGAGAATGATAAAATCTCTAATCTTACACAACATTTGGATTGCACTTCATTAACTGAAATGATTTCATTCTTAAGTGTACTTTTAATATAAGTTACCAATAATGTCGTATAGTAGTTAATTCATAATTTAACTTTAGTAAAACTTCATGTTTACATACAGAAATATTCACTATTTTTGTTAACATTTGTATTGATTACTGAAAAGAGAAAATCATTCATGAGCCGAAATTATTGAACCTGGAGATTTAAAATTTACTTTGACACCATTGTAAATAAAGTGAAAACTTGAATCTTTTTTTTTAAAGTTGAAAGTATAAAATTCTCAAAATTCTTGGTATATTGAGTTAATGAGTGAAGCTGTCGCTGTAAATCTTAGTTTTATTCATGTGATGATTTCTTCTTTTACGTATATAGGTCATATGCATATATAGACTTTGTAGAGTAATAACCATCGGTTCATATTAACCCTAGACTGTTTTTCAACTTCACACTTTCTTAATCTGTTGTTTTTACAATAACAATAATCCTCAATTTGATTTTAACTTTTTTTCTTTAGCTTCTAACTGTTACACCGTCAGATAATTCTTTGACTTTAGTCTATGCTGATCCTGGTACTGCTAGTTTCTTGAAATATATTAACCATACATTTGACCACTTTCCTCCGGATAAGAATCAGATTATCAGACAAGATGATTGTAATCCTTTGATAACTGCTGATAAGATTGATCATATGAACAAAGATCCTATTCAACTGTTTGATTTATCAATTAAATACTTTGAATCAAAATCAGATCCTGAGGATGTCAATAGTTTTCAAAGTGATAATAAAGATGAGGTCAGTAGCATCAGTAGTCTGAGTGAAGAAGAACCAGTTACGTCATCTCCTCAAGATGGTGACAGTGATTTGCATAACGACGAGGATGAGGAAGTGAAAGTGATCAAATAAACAATTGGTGCTTATGCATGTGTAATATATATTTTTCTGAATAACCGAAATTTTTTATATTTATAATGCTGTTCTATATCGATTCTTTTTTATATTTAACTATCATTAACTGAACATCGTTGAGATACTTCAGTCATAGCGATTACATAATATAACGAAAGGGAATTACTTCCTCTGGATAATGATCAATATCAATCATTTCTAATCTGACTTCAACTGACTATCAACCTCCAGAATTACAGTTTGCAACCTTAATGACTCTTGTTAATCTTAGTTACTGTATCGCTTGTTACTAGCTTCAATCTCTGTTACGTCCTTGATCTGTCTACCCAACAATATACTCATTGCTGATTCCCAATTGGTATTAATGTAAAATAACACATGAATCAATAGATGAATAAGATGAGTACCAGTGTGCTTCAAAACCAACTACAAAACCCTATCTCTTGTAGACGAATTACATTGAAATAGAAGTAATCTATTTCAGCATATACATTGTGGTGTATTTCTCCAAACCCTAAACGTCACATTGTTCCATAAAATTCACCCATTCCATCTAAATTTTTCTCATCACCGTTTTTTAAAGTAATGGTAAAGAAGTGTGTTTCATTATTCGTTAACATAATAATAGATAATGCGACTAAGCATACTAGATAATTAGACCACTATAGTGAATAACTAAAAAACCAAATAAAAGGCCAGAAGATAGGTTTACCAACACAAATACAAATAGTTCACACGCTGTCAAATCCAGACAATATGTCTCTAGTGATTCGGAGATACAACATAGAAATAATTTGTATTCCTAATTGCAGACGGGCGTCTCGGTCTTCGATTGGTAACGATTGATTACCTCCATCGGTCTCGTACTATTATAGTCGCTGATTTTTCTTTTCTGTACTGAAGTAGCGTTTTATTGCAAGTAACGTGGTCACCGTTGCTTTTTCTCTTACGTTTTGATTTAACCGTCATACAGTTGAGGTTCCTAATTATAATGCTGAGTGGCTTTTTTCTTCAAGATGACATAGGTGAAGCTCTTATTGTGATCCATAAACGTTTACTCCATGTAGAAGTTAACATACTATGTGAAGACTTGTATCAAACGGCTGCTTACTGTCGCCCATTCTTTTCTGTCAGAAGTTAACTGGATTATTAAGACATCCACGTCCCAAGAATGGCTAGGAATATAGTGAACACTATGGATGTGTTTGGACGACTTTGCCCTGCTACCGCATACACAGCAACAAATGGAAAAGACAGCTTACATGGAAATGATTTATGCAGATATGTCCTAAAGTTGACAATAAAAAAATCAAGCACCAAAAGTGTTATGATTTTATGTCCGGCTCATCACGTGATTTAGCCACCAATCAAAATACGTCTTATACAATCTTAGCACTATGACAAACCAATGACGTTCAACAGGTATGAGCAGTCTAGCGTCCTTATGGTCCTCCTAGCCCGTCCGCTTGAGTCCACAATTCAATACCAGCTTGCGCAATATGAATCGAATAGTTTATTTCAGACATACTCGGTTTACATATCAACCAGACAGATCACAACCTACCATAAAATAGAAAATAACATTTGTACAATATTTGGCCAAATGTGGCTGTGAACGTGGGAGGCAGTAGTCAATTATTGAATAATTATCATTATATAAAATTAATCCATTAGTAGTCCTCGGGAGTTACCCGTAATTTAATCTTCGCTCGGATATAACAGGAAGTACAAGGCATGTGATAAGCGAAATCAGCACAACAAAATGCAATTACGAAGACAAGTTGAAATAATGATATCCTTTATGGTATCAGATAGCTGAAATGTGGCTAGTAGTCGAATCAAGGACAAACCGTTATGGTTTCACCAGGTGATGATGAAGTCCACGCCGGACTAGAACCCAGTATCTCCCTATTCAAACTGCTAACGCCAGCCACTAGCTTAAACTTCAATTTGTGATGTCTTGAATTATCACTTGGTTCATCTTGAGGGAGCTTTGATCAGTCTTGGTGTATGTTCGTTCATACCCGTTATGTAATTTAGTTGCCAACTGAGTCTCAAATAGAACGAAACGTTAGCCCTGGATTCCACTGCTAGCTATATACTCAACCTATTCTATAAGCGTGTGTAACAGATGATTACACTGGGGTGATCCGCACATATACCAATGAAGACCCATCAAGACGCAGTAAAGAACATCAAAAACGGTAATTAAAATCAGTACAAATTTAAATATTTATGAAAGCGAGAAAGACTAAAGATTGAAATATATGTTTTACGACAAGACGTAACAGAATGCTGAACTACAAAATTTACTGTAAGATAAAGTATGAATGAAATAAAGACCGATGATAAATCGATTACTAATCATGTTCCAATAAATAAGGGTTTCGGGATTTATCAAAATCGGCAGACTTACAATTGTCAAATGAATATATTGCCTGAATTAGATAGCAATACATCTAACGCAAATAAGATACTTCATTTCATTGGTGATAACAAGCATAAACAGACTATAAACTAAAATGTTTTCAAAAAATAGAAATAAGTAGTTGATGAAACCATGTCTCAGTAGAATCAGTTGATAACATAGGGAAAAACCAACTGAAGATTAGGTACGCAGGTTATTGCTTATCTTTGACAGATAGTTTAAATCATAAAACTTGCTTGCAGACTTAATTGCTGTTTCAGACATGGACATCGTGATTGCCTATTTCTAGTTTCGATCCTAAAATATAGATAATGTTAACGGCAACGGCAAATATATTTAATAATTTGTAAGTTGTGTGCATAAATCACCTTAAATCCAAAACCCTAAAGCACGAGACTAGGAAGCAAACTTATGTGGAGTTCAGTATAACTTGTAAACTTTAATGATGAAAATGGGTCTGAGACTTGAATTGATTGACACTGCAATTTATTTGAAGGACTTAAATTAATCAAGACACAATTGAGTATAGACGATTTGTGTGTGTGTGTGTGTGTGAAGAAATCACGAACATACATCAGTATTAATAATATAATAATAAAAATTCATGAAGAAACCGATCAGAACGCTTGCTTTTTTATAATTTAAAAACAAAAAGCGATTTACCTAAGTGGTAACAAACAAAAAAAACCTTGACAACAACAAGAAAATAAAGAACTTGAATATAACAAAGTTTTAAAATACGAAAGCCCTTTTTTTGTGTGTATACTAGAATCAATACCTTAACCAATAAAATTTTAAAAAAAATAAACAACTAAGTTATGGTGTTCAACATTTCATAAATATCCATCAATTAGTGTAACTGATACAAAATAGAAATAAAATTCATAGTTACAGGAAAGTAGAAAGACAATTTATAAAACATTGAAATATAATTATATTAAGAGCATAAAATGAGAATGTGTCCATGTGAAGACAAAGTTTGAGTTTGTAATAAATGAATAATTATAGACCTAGTTAATAAATCATTAAATTACTGTGTTTATAAAGTAATAAAAGTTCAATGAGATGATTTGATATGTATTCGAATAATCAATTATTCAACTGTTACAGATTTCGCCAAATTTCGAGGGCAATCAACCTATTTGCAAAGTAGTAAAAGAGAAAAAAAAAAATTTATAAATTCAATAAAAGGATTATAATTTAAATATTCCATACCTTGAAAGTTATTAAACCGAAGTCACACGCAGAGGCTCTGATTGGTTGACTGCTACACTGCTACTATGTTTAGTAGCGTTCCAGAATCTTCTAACAACCCAAGGACATTTAAAATATTATAAAAACCATGTATTTTCTGTATTAAAATGAACCTTGGAGTAAACTACTTCTCGCATACTTTGTGTCTTCTCTCTCGTGTTCAGGTCGCTGTATAGTTCTAGCTTAGGAATTACAGAATAGCCTAAGAGACGAATATAGCGTTCAATCCGCAAGACTTATCAGAAGACTTCATAATTGTCTTATTTCGTTTAATATACAATTCAATTATTTTTATATATAGTTGATAGATAATATCCTTTATGACTACTAGTTTGGTTAACTTCACAGATTATGAGATTTTGATGAGAATGTTATCTTTAAATTCTTGATGAATCTCAGGTTACAAATCCAAAAAAGGTGCTACAGTGAATAAGCTACATAAGATTTTTCGTAATTTTACACCGACATATTTATTCATCGATGCTTTAATTAAAATGATCTGCTAGCTTCAGAACATCAATAATTTCGCCTTAGATGGTCAAACAATTGGTTGATTGTACAGTTTATCCAAAGCTGTACGTCGATCTATTATGAAACTTAAATCATTTGATACAATAAGTAGTCACTTCATATAGTAAGATAGAATGAATTTAATAGTCTAGTAAAGAATAACATTAAAAAGGTGGTGAATAAGGCATAATCTACCTATTGGACAATTTAATTAAAGTGTATCTAAATCGCTTGATATTCCGTTTGACTTTATTGTTTTGCATAAAATTAGGATAAAGTTTTGTTGAGAAAAAGCTGACAATTTGAAGAAGCATTGTCTTTTATTATTCTTCATGAGCAACATTATAACTGGACATTCATGAAAAGGCTACTCTGTTTAAAAATCATATTTATCATTTAAGTTGAATTTACAAAAATTGATGTGGAACACAAAAAAATCTTCATTTGAAAATGTAACCGTTCAAATAAAGTTTAAATTAAATGATCTCATATGGCCACGTTCATAAAGCCACTGCCAGGGAAATCTTACTCACTGCCTTCTCGTGGGATTACTGTCGTATATAAAAATTGAGAGGATAAAAAGCGAATGTCCGGCACTTGAACCGGGTTGGTGGACATGGATAGTCTACCTAGGGGAGTTGGAAAACCTTGATTCCAAACCAATGGCATACATGGGCTCTAGTATCCTAAAGGAACAAATGGCGTATGAACCTATTGTTGGTCACCGGCTACCATACCTTGTGGACCAGACCTTAAGGTCGAAGGCTCCGGGTGTGGCTCCCTAAAAAAAACCACCTGCTTCTGTTTGGGCACCCAGTCAATATCTCAGCCCTCACATAAATCAAGTGAATTGAGTGGCGCATATGTATTCGGTACCGGTTTTTATCAATATTTATGTGTTTAAATAAATAAAAATTCAAAGTAGAGAGACAAAATATCATAAACCAAATAAAGAATATAAAAATTTAAATGTGATAATTATATAACAAATACATCTGTATCTAATTGGTATAAGTGATGTTTTGACTGTGATATCTCAAGAGGAGTTTTAAAATGAGTGATTTCAATTGCATCGTAAAACTTGATCAAAATGTTTACAATCGTTTAAATAACTTAAATCAACAGTTAGTAACCTCATACAAATGAAGCTATAACTGAAAATTATTCATATTCAAATATCTAATTGAGTCAATACAGTATCATTGAGTATTATGAAATAGTGAGAAGGAAAATAAAAGTTATTTTGAACTAACAGAATGTTTTATAATAAAAATGCATATTCTTGTAGTAAAACATAAAGCTACAACTTGATTTGTATTAATTTCTATGGTTAAAATAAATAAAGATTTTTTATTAAAAAAAAATAAAAACACTAAAAACTTTGAGTTGACAAGTTTTACAACACCGTAGAATAGAAAATTTAGAAAAATTAAAAAGTAAACAAAAACAATTATGAATTGAAATTCAATTGGTATTGTTTACTTGAATCTTTCTATTGATGATTAGGAGTACAATTGATCAGTCTTTTGTTGACATATCTGCATCCTGTGTGGATTGCCTCGATATAACCTTAAGTCAGAAGATTTTTAAACAAAGATGGATAGTGGATAGCAGTGTATTGCACAAACAGATGGGTATTAGAACTCAGTAGCTAAGTGGATAACGGAATGGCGTTTGAGACGAAAGGTATTGGGTTCGATTCCTAGAGTGAACATCAACTATGGGATGCAAATACAGCCAGCTGACGAATCCCAAATAGGACGAGACGCACATCCTGGTTCCCACTACTAGCCACTATCCATTTTTGCCTATATTAATCAATTGAGTTTATAGGTATCAATGCCAAAGTTGGACTTGATAGTTTCAAATAAATTGAGTACTGGGTAGAAAGCTAATATTAAATACGTTTTTTGTCATATCCTAATGAATAGAAAAATTATATTTTTGATGTTTTGTCATTTCATGTAAGCTAATTCTTTGGAGTGACTTACATTATGCCACGAAACATTAAAAATACTATTTTTCTATTCATTGGGATACTAAAAATATATAATAATTATTAAACAGAAACAATTAAAATGAAAATAGGAAGAAAAGGATAACTATTCGAAACCTACATCTAATCCACGTTGTACTGCAATATGAAATGAAATCAACTGCAATGGAATAACTGCTAGTACACTTTGTAAACAATCAACTGTTTCAGGTATTTGAATAGCATATGATGCATCTGCCATAACTTGTGAATCACCTTCATTACAAATAACAATCGGATGACCCTGAAAAAAAAAGTGTAATTCAATCACAATAATCAAAGCGGTTTAATTTGGAAAAGTAACAAATACGTTAGAAACTAAGCATTGCTCTGAATTACATTACATGTATATGATTTACTGGGTCAACAATATAATGCTTATATTTTAAGAGTATATAGATTAATATATATGCTTGAGACAAGAAAATCTATCAGTTTCATCAATTTTTATTTGCACATCTTTATTTAAAAATCACACATATTCACCATGAAATATATTTTGTTACTGAATAGGATCACTTTGAACAACAACAACAAGTTCATTGATTTAACATTTATAACATATTAGGTCAAGGTTTACGTAATAGGATTGGAATACTTCTAAAATTGGATACATCACAGATTATCTAATTGATTTGAAAGAGTAAAATGTGTGTGTTATTCCAATAGCTTTATAATTAGTCTCTTTATATGTAAACCACTTTTATTCAATTCTCTATCCAGCATGAAACATGTAATTATGAAGATTACCAAGAATACTTTTAAAAGATTTGAAATCTAAACGACACAACAATGTTGACTAAATCACAACATGAATTAAAGGTCTTCAATAGCCCATAATTCAATGTTCAAGGTATAAAATGTTATACTGACTCCTGGATTGATTTACAATACGTGAAAAGCTTGTTAGCTCTTACAAGTACAATGTAGACTGGTTCATGAAACTTAATTATTAATTCTGATAACCAGTAATAGAATAATACTGTGACAAATTACTATTGAATCGTATTATGATTTGTTATTATTTTGTGATCTGAAAATTTGAAAAGTTTACTGGAATCATAAAATAGTAGGGAGATTCTTTTATGTATTAGTGTACACAATTGTTTTCATCATCTGTAGATGAAATTAACCAAGACTATATTTGAAAAACTACAACTCATTTATATTACATTCTTATTAAACAGATTGTACTAACATAAATTATCAATAATATATGATAAATGGAACAAGACTGTTATTATGAACATATTGGACTACGAGAAAAAAGACAGGGAATATTTACAAGAGGGTCCCCGTATGAAATAATTAAAGAAAGGAAAAGTAGAACAACGTTTAATTAACTTAAGGTTGAAACTAGTAAAACCTTACAGCTGTTAAAGGTTAAACTAGGATCGTCATTATGGTCCATGTTATATCCAAAAAGTTGAAACCCTTGTAGAGTTTATGGACTTCCAAAGATTCACAAGAATAATATTCCACTAAGACCAGTAGTTGATTTTACATATTCACCGACATACAACCTAGCGAAATACTTAGCTAGGATACTTAAACCGTATGACAAATTGATTAATCATGAAATTAAAAACTCTATGGAATTCAAGAATGTTATCGATACTATGCATATAGAAGAGGATGAAATGATGGCAATTTTTGATGTATCTTCCTTAATTACTAATTTAGCTGTTAATAGAGCATTGGATATTATTTATGATCTGACTCAGATTTGAATTTACGATGCCTATTAGATTCATCTGAAGTTATCAAATGCTTGAAACTATGTTTACGATTCACCTCATTCACATTTCGAAGAGAGATTAATAGACAGAAACAAGCTATGGAAATGGATTCACCGGTTTCTCCGATTGTAATGAATTTATTCATGCACTACAAGATCGGCATTAGTGAAAGTTAAGGATAGGTTCCCAAAGGAAGAACAACAAAATATTGTCTATGAGATCAACTGTCATGACTGTAATGCAGCATTTGTGGAAGAAACGTTCAGACAATTGAATGTGAGGTTGAACGAAAATAAAAAGTGTTTGAAAAATTTTCCAAAATCCTCGGCTGACTAAAAGAAACTTGAGAATAAGTCGACGATAGCGTAACATGAGTTAGAAACAGGATACAAGATTATTTTTGAAGGGACCAAAATTGAAAAATTGACAGCAGAACCATTGTATATATGAGCCCCCAAATGCCCTGGTATGACCGAGAGTGGGGTGGGCTCGCCCTCCCTCTCGAAATGCTCTCACACAACCACGCGTATACAGCCTCTGTCAGGGAAGTCCTACTCACTACCTTCTCGTGGCAGGGGTGCTGTTTACAAAAATGAGAGGACGAAAAGCGAATGTCCGGCGCTTTAACCGGATTCCAAACCAATGGTGCACATGGGCTCCAGTATCCTAAGAGAACAAATGGCGTATGAACCAATTGTTGGTCACCGGCCACCATGGGACTGCATCTCCTCACGATGCTCCACTGTCTTGTGGATCAGACCTTTAGGTCAAAGGCTCAAGGAGTGGCCCCTAAGATAACCACCTGCTTCGGTCTGGGCACCCGGGCAGTATCACAGCACACACACACAAATATGGTGTGGCGCATATATATTTGGTGCCCTCTTGTACCAATATTTATGTGTTAAAATAATAATAATAAGAAGAAGAAGAAGAAGAATAGCCTGAACCAAAAGGATAGTATTCAACAAGCAACTAATTGGCAAATATTCGTTAACAAGTAATTGGACCCTATCTCTATCTAACCTGTTTATTTTATATGCATCGTCATATTGACGAAAATTAATATGAGTTCCATTCTATCTATATCGTATTAACTTATTAACGGAAATTAAATTCAACGGTTCTAATCAGTTATCTTATTTGAATATGTTGAACAATTGACTGGAACATTAAAATAACACAAACTTCCAATTATAAATACATTCTTCCTCTTTGAATTCATTCTTTTATCTTTTTTATTTATCTTCATTTAATGCATGCTATAACATTTTAGATTCATAACATCTATAAAAGTTGTATGATTTCTTCACAAATTCACCGATCAGAGACAATATATAGTTATCAGAAGGGGTTTGTGGAGATTTTAGAATTTTCACAGATTGAAATCATGAGTCAATTGAAGCTAGACCACCATGGAAAACCTGGAAGCACTGGACGGCCGTTTCGTCCTAGTAAGGGACTCCTCAATGGTGTGCATCCACGATCCCACATCCCGCGGGATTCGAACCCAGGACCTATCAGTGTCGCGCCAAGTGCTTAACCAACTTTGTGGATTGGTTGAAGTTAGACATTAACACAATTGGATGCCGGCTCAGTGGTCTAGTTGGTTATGCGCTTGGCGCGAGACTGATGGGTCCTGGGTGCGGGACCGCGGATGTGCACAATATATAATTGGTGAAATTTCTTCTCACAATACGTAGAACTAAATACAATCTGTTATCTAAACACACACTTAATTTCATACCACATGTCTCTTATACACTAAAGCAGATACCTACTTTTAACATTGATTGGATGACCTATTCAAGTGTACAGTTAACTAGAGAATCATGTATCTATTTATATTCGATCATTTTGATGTTTGATGATATTTCCTTGAAAAAAAAAAGCTTGAACCAAATTGTCAGATAAGAAACATGGAATTTACTTCGAATTTATTCGTTAACATTTTATACAACTCCATTCATCCTCTTTAATGAGTTATTTTCAGAAATACAATTATGTAATTTATGATTCTCATTTTTATTTGCATATCGATGACTGAGAAACAATTTTTCAACCTTTAACTTGTACTTTTAGTTTATTTTATTTATTTATTCCTTCATATAAAACATATTAACACTGAATATCAATAATTGAGAACTCAATCTTACACATACATAAACTCACACACACACACACACATAATTCGTTTCAGTCATTTATTTCTACATCATGAACTTTTCACATGAATCGCATATAACTAACTCATGTTGTTATCCTATTTACTAAAGTACAACCTCCATTATATGATTGGATTAAAACAATATATAGATTTGATCTGATTGAACATTCACAAACAAATATTGTTATTTACCTTTCGTGCTCTGATTTCTGACAATGCATTCAATGTTTTCTAAATAATAAATAAAACAAAAAGACAAGAATAATATTACTTAAACAAAAGAAACATGATCCACGATAGAGTATAAAGAAAATCAAATTGACAAACACTGTCCAAATTGAAGCAAAGTAATACACATTTTAAATGCCAACGTGTTAATAAACGATATAGTTAACGTTTGGACAAATTGTTGGTTACATTGCACGGCGACTACTTGACTAATTTTTCCCCAGATTATGAGAAAAGTAGCTTTATTTACTAGGTGTAAGTCCATGGAAAGACTGTCGACATTCGAGGATATTCTTTCTCAGAACACTACAAACTGAGTAATTTGTCAGTGAAAAAATATCTAAGTAAACCGTACAGAAACCAAATATGCCTGAAATACTTTTAAGTAATAAACCTGTTAGGTTAACTGTTGGGCTCAATATTTTTTCTCCTTCCTAGTCTGACCGGTCAAATTTAAAAGGGAGCATAACTAGGGCAACGTTCGAGAACTATAAGATCTTCCGCAAACAAATATACAACTTGTTTGGTTAGATGACATGGGATAACCAACTGAAAAAAACTGAATCTAGGTTTCGTGTTATTTGGCACTCGCTACCAACGTGTACCTCTGTATTCTTGAAGGAAGTGATGTTACCTGGTCGATTTGAACACGTGCCAATCACGTTAAAGTAAACTGACCGATATAATTCGATGGAAACTTATGAAATAAACAAACATAACATTGGTCACTAATCAGTGATCAGTTAATTGTAAACTGAATTTCCGTGCGAAAATTAACCTCGAGACATAATTTGATTTTGATTGGATTGTTTGAAGTCCAGGAATTATAGCTTAATGAAAGTTAGGAGATGAAAAAGGAAGCCAACATTCTGTACTCAGATCCATCAACATCTTATTTCTTTGGTCTACATAATAGACCAACACATTCCATTCATTTTTTCCCTCTAGAATAGTTGAATAATTTATTATCTATCTTATCATTTTCTCTGTAGTTTTTTTTTCGAATCACAGCAGTTATACTTTCGTACACCTGCCTCTACTTATCTGCATATGATGATAAACTAGTAATACTAAGTTCCAATTTACATAGTTGATTGTAATGCAAAATGGGAATAATACCTATATATGTACTTAATTTACTATAAACAAATTGTCAGCATAATCAAACAATCAACTTACTTTAAATAAACGATCACGTGTTATAATCATTATAATAGTGCTTTCACTATCAATCATTGCTAATGGACCATGTTTCAATTCACCAGACATAATACCTTCTGCATGCATATAAGTTAATTCTTTTAATTTCTACGGAAAGAAAACAAAAGAAAAATATGAGTAACTAGATTAAAACAAAACTGACTAATGCTGAAAATCCGTAAAACCACAAAAGTGAAAGTGGATATCAGGACTCAGTAGCTAAGTGGATAATATAGTGGCGTTCGAAGCAAACGATACTGGGTTCAAGTCCCGGAGTGAACATCAACTCTGGGATGCAGGTGTATTTAGCTGACGAGTCCCAAGTAGGACGAAACGCGCGTCCTGGATTCCACTGCTAGCCACCATCCATCTTTGCTTAAGTGAAAGAAATTGTTTAAATATTTTTAAAAGAAAAAGATTTAATCTAAAATTGAGCTAAAATGATTGATACAATATCTTTAGTCAAAACTGCCCAACTACTTTCTATTCGTCATGAAGTAAAAGACAGAAACGAATACGGTGAATCAAGTTCTTCATAATATATACCATGAAGTGGTTTGTTACTTCGTGATTTTAGTTAATATCAGTTGTTAATCAACTTTATGGGTTTTATTATACTCGAATTAACTGATTAACCGATAACCATGTAAAATTCATAGAATTTAAAACAATTTATGTATACTATGACTTTTCAATTTCCAGGCATATCACAGAATCAATCTGTCAGCAATTAAATTCAGGAAGGTGAAAAATTAAAACGAGCACTTTAATTTGACACAGACATGTCAAAATTCAATGATATAGTTTTTCTCTAAATTTGACCCGTTTACGAAATAATTCAACATAGTCTGATATCTCATGATGGTTCCGAAAAACTTTAGCATTGAATTTATCGCATAAAAACATTCATTTGAGAATGTAAGATTTCCTATCATATTCTACTTTGATCAAGCATAGGTGATACGAAGCTATCACTGAATTACAAAGCAGATACTATATGTTAATGGTAAGTAATTATTTTTCAGCAGTTATTATTGTCCTCAATCACCATTTAATCAAGGTATTTTTTAAATACTTCATTGATGAAACTTATTTTTATTAACCTGAAAACAATCCACTTGAATACAAACATTGTTATTTTACCTGTAACTTTACTGATACTCACACTCATTCAACTCATTTCCATTTAGGACAAGCTTTAGAATTTGGTACATGCATGAAATTGTCAAATTATTGATAACAGGCAACAAAAAACAACAAAAGAAAGACAGTGCAATTGCTTACTTACCAATGCGCCTTCCAGGCAAGTAGCATAGTTATAACCACGACCCATGACTAAAATGCTCTTTTTCATATAAATTGTTTTAGCCAATTCTTGTAATGACGAATCTAACTTTAATATGGAACGTATCTGATCTGGTAATTTTTTAAAAGAAGAACGTAAACAGTAAATCAACAATCAGTCATAACACGTAAGTAAGAATATGAAAAAATTGCTTAACATTTATCATCCAGTTAACTACAAACACTCTATCGTTCTGTCACCTCGATATCATGTTTCAACTTTTTTTCTGCACTCCGTAGATTGTTTGCTGCTTGATTGAGTGAGCATTTGTGAGGTTAGATCTAATGTGAAGAAATAAGGCTGGTGTATCCACCGACGAATCCTCATCAATCAATGTGATCAGGAGATGGATTGTGCATGCGCAAACATCGCCTACTACAAAATGTATAGTTCGGTGGAGTAAGTGTAAATTAGATGGGAATCAGGAGACGCTAAAACAGCATTGGTATTGGTGCCAACCTCTTAGCTCAGTGAATAAACACTCTATTTATCTTTTGGTGTACTCTTACGTTCCCGCTCACATTGATTTAACATATAGGTCTGGGATGTCATAAGATACTGACAAGTTAGCTAGTAGATTCAGAACACTTGACACATTATATCTCACGTTGAGCAAAATAGAATATAATTCTCTTAAGTGAAAAAGACCAAATTATCTGCACTTCAAAAGATAAAATGAATGACTTCATAATTACTGAATGAAACAAAAGACTATTGTAAAAGTAATTGAACAGCACATCGATCATTTGATTTTCAACATAATACGCAGCAAATAAACAAACTGCATATATATTCACAACCAAATTCGAACCAAGTGTGTGGCAAAAGATTTCTTAGAAATGAAAATACACTACTACTACACCTCCTAATTGAATTTAGAACTCACTCACCAGACAACTTAGACAGTGCTTCAATAATTGCAATACGCTTTGGTTGAATAGAGATGCGATCTTCAGATAAGACTAAAGCAAACATTACCAGGGCAATTAATTGACTTGTATAGGCCTAATGTCATTGAAAATAAAATGAGGTAAAAACAAAAAAACGGGGATTAAATTAAACAAACTAATAATAGTCAGTAGATATGAGAAAATTAGACGAAATTAGAACTTTGTTGTAACGTGGTGTGTGACTGCAGGTTATGATACGCAGAGTTATTATCGATCGCTCCTGTGACAGTGGACACGTAAACTTGTAAGGATGACCTAGTGCCCTGATTGGCCCTGCCTCGCTATCTGTCCCCAGCCAGTTGAGTCAAGAACAAAAGTCACAGCCTCGGAGTTATGAATCATTATATTTCAAACATACACTATTTATATACCAAGCAAACAAACCACATCGTACCACAAAGTAGAAAATAACATTGTACAATATTTAACAAGTGAACAAATATCGACCAATAGGAAATGTACATTTAAGGTCCAAGGACACCATTGGACTTAACATGATAATTATTGGTCTCTTTTTCCGACTATCCTAACAAACTTATATATGCGGATTGTTTAAGTTGCAACTATGGAGGCAACCTGATGATTAACAAACACGTTTTGTAACATTAAAAATACATGAACCTATAAATATGTACCGAATAACTAGACTTCTAACAGTACAGAAATTAAAATAGCAAATATGTATAATGACTGAAGTAGAAAGATCAGAGTGACTGAATGATTGGAAATGATTCCTTGTTCACTAAGTCTCAACTTTGCTTGACTATTGTGAAAGCTGAAAGTAAGCAATATATTTCTTAATAGTTCAGTTTTACCGTCCAGTTGATAGAACCAGTAAACAGGAGGACGAGGGTTTAAGCCCTGTATTTTTAAACTTAAACATTCATTTCTGCATCAGCTACAGCGTCTACCAACCGAGGCTTTCAGACAGTCTAAGCCACGAAACACAAAGGTCCAAGATACAAAAAAAATGCACATGGAAGAAATGATGTACCATTTTGAACTTCTTTGAAATGGTGAAGAATACTTATTTACTAAGTGAGAAATGAATTGATCTTCTCGGCTTTTGTAGATGTGTCCGCAAACACACTCATAGGGAAAGCCTATGTGGTATATCTATGCGGACTACCTTCGGCACTGTCAGGACATTGGTTGAACTACAAACGTTCGGGATTAACAAAGTTTTACTGTGAGCTCCAGACTTCTGAAACGTAACCTCCGTGAACTAAGGATGATCAACAAATCGGTTTTCGTCCAACACTAATTTTGTCCGAATCTAGATATTTGAGTATATAATTGATCACATTATTTATATAATATTCCAAAATGTATAAAACTAGATTTCTGACATTTCACGACTCAATGAAAATTGTTTTTCCAGGGAATATATAACATTTTTTTAAATTAAATGAATTAATTACGTATGCATTGACATAATTTTGAAAAAGTTACCTTAGTACTAGCCACTCCAATTTCAGGTCCAGCATTGATATGTACTCCACAATGTGATTCGCGTGATATTGATGAACCGACAGTGTTTGTGATACCAAGAGCAAGTGCTCCACGTTTGATACAATAACGCATAGCTAACAAAGTGTCTGCTGTTTCACCTGACTGACTTATAAATACACAAACATCATCACGAAATATTGGGGTTTTACGATCTAACAAATCACTAGCTAATTCAACCATAACTGGTAGTTCAGACATTTCTTCAATGAGTGCACGAGTCTGAGCAAGAGAGATGATAAAATACATAAAGTTTAAAAAGCAATAAATATAATATGCTTAGCATACGAAAAAGAATTCTATAGCACATTGTATAGCAAAAGTCGCTGATATCCAGCATTCCGGATTGATACGTTTATAGGTAACTGGATAGGATATTAATACGTTCATTAACCGAATACTTATATGACAACTTAAAATAAAGTAATTATATTCACTGATATATGTATGTATGACTAGCAAGCAGTGTCATCAAAAAGTGTTGACATCACAAACTGTTCCACACGAAGTCTTTCGACAGTGTCGTTGTTGTTTTGATACCTTTTCAAACTTACTGTTCGATGCACATAAAATAGGAAAAGAAGTTATACACATTAGCTAAGCAAAATATAACGTTATCATGTTGTATTAATTATTAGTTATTTACATAAATATGATATACTTCATATGATCTTACGAATTTATATTGAATGAAAATTGACAGTGTTTGACTGTAGTAAGTTTTAAAATGTTTATTCATTTCATATTTAGTGAGTTTTGTTAAACATCTTGATCCTGAACACGTTAATGTTAAAAGCAATTTTTATAACATAAAGTAGAAGATTAATTCATCGAACGGTAAAATTTTAATTTCAATAGTTGAGATCAGGGGTCAAATTGAAGCTAGACTACCATGGAAAACCTGAAAGCACTGGACAGCCGTTTCGTCCTGTTGTGGGACTTACATCTCATCAATTACTATTAAAACTATGGCCTATCTTCAAGTGTTCCATATACAAAAAATGATAGATAAAACAATGAGTTAAATAAATTGATCGACTTGAACTAAATTTAATCTTCAAACATTCAAAATACTAAACAAACTATCATTTACATGAATTGGTGCAATCCAGCATACAGAATCATTGGAATATAATATATGTAACTATCAAAAATGAAATTGTCTTATTCTAAGTATACTATCGATATAGATTACTTTGTAAGACTATGGAATAAATCTGCTAGAATCTATCCGTGAAACTAAATCACTATCATCGTTTGTTCGATACATCGATGATTAACTCTCTACCGATACTTAAACCACTAGCTAGATCTCACTTTACTAGTGAAATTATAGGAATATTAGATGTTTGATCATTGTTATTACTTAGGCATATTTATTGAAATTCCGTTCTTACAAATATTTTACAATTACATCGTATCTGATCAATATGACCAATTTAAATAATATCTACTCAAATTAGTAAGCCACAAAAGGAGCTAACACAAAGTATAACGACAGAGATGTCATAGTAACTTTTGCTGCTATTGTTCCGTGCTCATTGTTTTTCATTTTCTTCCCTCAATTAGTAGGTGGTTATAATTACCTTGCAACAGCACTGAAAATAGCTTTTGCATACAGTACTTATCCTCTAAAGTGACATCCCAATACACCTAATACGAAAATACTGGTTCCAAACTTCTGTCTCACAGTATTTCAATTCTTGTGACAAATGTCATTTTAAGACAATTTGTGAACGCCTATTCAAAAGATTTCTCCGTATCAACCAGACCACACCTTGCAAGTCGTAATCAATTATATAATTAATTTTACTTTTGGTGGAGTTTTGTTCTCTGAGCTGGATGGTTTGGTCGTGGAGCTTTCATCGTTCTTCTGAACGACATCATCAGCACAAACTTCAAATAGAATAAAGTACTTACTGCAACTGCGCTATGATAACTAGTTCCACAGCCAATGAATATGAGTCGACGGCAACGACGTATTGCACTTAGATGTTCAGCGAGACCACCTAATTTCACAGTATTCATATCGAATTTTATTCGACCTCTCATTGTATTCAACACTGATTCTGGTTGTTCAAAAATTTCTTTTTGCATAAAATAATCATAATTGCCTGGGAATATAAACAAGGGAAGTGATTGATAATTATTCCAATCAGATAACGAATTTGATCATTTTACATTGAAAACGGCAATTAAGTAAATTAAAATTGAGTAGTGAAAACTAAGTGAGCTATAGCATCACTGTCATGAAAACATTTGCAGTTTTATTTACTTCTATGCATCCACTTTTGACGAGTGTCCCATGACAGCGTTTGTGTTATCGAAGAAATTAAATAGATAAAAAAGAGGTTGGTCACATTGTTTTTGCTAATACGTTTGTTAATAGAAAGCATGTGTGCCATTAGATATTTTCCCGAGACTTTTTCTTTTAGCTAGTGAACATAATATCATGTTATCCAGTTAACTGTTATTACGTCTATTAAAAATGGAATGTGAAAATGTGAACCGCCTCGTTCTGTCAGTTTTCGTCTTTTGATTCCTAATTGGATTGAATTGGTCTAATTCTTTTATTTACTAAGATTATCATTTGCACTGTGTTCGTGTACTATTTTGATTTCATGTAACGAGCTTGTTGAATAGACAATTGTTAAATTCTTTTTAATGTTACATGTTTCAAGGATTTGTGACTCGGATTTGTAGCAATAACTTCTAAGGGTTCATTGATTATAGTTTAATACTGCTCAGCTTCATTAGGTAAAGATTTAATAATTAACTGGATTCCTGTAAAAGCGTTCTTTTCAAAATAATATTTAAGACTGAGTTTCCTGAAATGTCCTAATTCGTAAATCAGATAAGCTAAATGTCAAGTTTCAAAAAAGTCTTTTGTTTTAATACTTCAGAAAAAAAAGCTGGTATATTGATTGATGTGTTGTTGGAAAAACAATTTCATGACGAGGTGCATAATGACATTTTATATTCATAACAAAATCGTATGATCATTAACCGTTTGTGGATTATACCATTTGTATGTGAACAGTGTAATGTTTGATAAATAGATTTAGAAAAAAAAACACTTGAAATATCTCAGAAAGTATTCAAAGAAACTGTCTACCTAAAAGAATTGAATTGAGAAATGAAAGCTTTCAGAGTTCTACAATTTGCCAGTGATGACTGTTAGTTGTAAATGAAATTATCGCACACAAAATAACGCCTGATTGAATAAACTACAGTATAAACACATAAATCATGAATTTAAACAAATCGTTCAAATAACGATTGTATAGAGCCATTGAAATAGTAGTCATTCGTTCTTTCATTAACATTAAAATGTTTGATCATTTTAAGCAGATTAAGCTATTCGTTTAATCATTCATTCACAACTAACAACAGTAAAGGTTGTACAAGGGAAGTAGACTAAATTAAATTGACATCATCTAATGAAAGAGTTTTACTATTCAAATGGTGTAGCATCAAATTAAATATCAGAAGTCATAAACTCAAAACTGTTTGTTTATCAAATTCTTATCAATCATTAGTTATAATACAATATATTTGATTGAAAGCTGGCACTGATTTGTGTCATATAGAGATAATGATTAAACTTTAATTTACAAAGAAAAACTCGGATCACATTATCAAACAACTCCGCCTGTAGCTCTTCTAGAGTTACTGCCGATCCCAAGCCCGGGTAAAGGAGGAGGGTTGGGCATGGGGTTAGCGTCCCCATCCCGTAGAAAACTAACTCGCTAAAAAAACGCTTACCAGAAAAAATAATTCAAACCATTTTAACTCTGCCCTGAGAGTTAGAAGGTCTTCATTTAGAAGAATTATGACGCTTCATGGTGAAAGCCGAGTTCCTTCGGAAGCCACGAGGCCGATGCCCCTTCTAACAACCAGAGCAAAAATTTTTATAGGTACATGGAACGTCCGAACAATGTGGGAAACCGGGAAGACCAGTCAAATAGCAATGGAAATGAGGAGATACAACTTAGCAGTACTGGGGATCAGCGAAACTCACTGGACCCAAGCTGGACAGAAAAGACTAGCTACGGGAGAGATGCTGCTATACTCCGGTCACGAAGAGGAAAATGCTCCACACACTCAGGGAGTTGCTCTAATGCTGTCCAAAGTAGCACGAAATGCACTTGTAGGATGGGAATCCCACGGATCCAGAATCATCAAAGCATCATTCAAAACAAAGAAGGAGGGGATCTTAATGAATATTATCCAATGTTATGCACCCACCAATGATAGCAACGACGACATTAAAGATCAGTTCTACGAGCGACTGCAGTCAGTCATTGAGAAATGCCCAAGAAAGGACCTCACCATTCTAATGGGAGATCTAAATGCCAAAGTCGGAATAGACAACATCGGATATGAAAATATTATGGGGCAACATGGACTGGGAGAGAGGAACGAAAATGGAGAAAGATTTGCAAATTTGTGTGCATTCAACAAATTAGTCATAGGAGGCACAATATTTCCACACAAGCGTATACACAAGGCTACATGGATCTCACCGGACCACACTACAGAGAACCAGATAGACCATATTTGCATCAACAAAAAATTCCGAAGGACAATGGAAGATGTGAGAACCAGGAGAGGAGCTGACGTAGCTTCAGATCACCACCTAGTTGTAGCCAATTTGAAACTGAAGCTAAAAAAGAACTGGACAAGTGGACAAACAGCAATACAAAGGTTCAATACAGCCTTCCTTCGAGATACTGTCAAACTCAATGAATTCAAGATAGCTCTCAACAACAGGTTCCAAGCCTTACAAGATCTACTGAAAGAAGAAGAAACTACTATGGAGGACAACTGGAAAAGCATCAAGGAAGCATTAACTTCAACGTGTCAAGAGGTTCTCGGTCTAAAGAAATACCATCATAAGGAATGGATCTCTACAGAAACACTGGACAAGATCAAAGAAAGGAAGAACAAGAAGGCAGCAATAAACAACAGCCGAACACGAGCAGAGAAAGTCCAAGCACAAGCTGAATACATAGAAGCAAACAAGCAAGTGAAGAGGAGCATTAGAGCTGACAAGAAGAAATACGTGGAAGAATTAGCAACGACGGCAGAAAAAGCTGCTAGAGAAGGAAATATGAGACAACTTTACGATACAACGAAGAAACTAGCAGGGAAATACAATAAACCAGAGAGGCCGGTCAAAGACAAGGAAAGCAAGCCAATCACTGAAATTCAACAACAGCGTAACAGATGGGTAGAATACTTTGAGGAACTCCTGAATAGGCCGGCTCCTATGAATCCACCGAACATCGAAGCAGCACACACAGATCTTCCTATAGATGTCAACCCACCAACGACGGAAGAAATTAGAGCGGCCGTCAGACAAATCAAGAACGGGAAAGCAGCAGGACCCGACAATATACCAGCTGAAGCACTGAAATCAGACGTCGAAGTAACCACAAGCATGCTTTACCCTCTATTTAAAAAGATTTGGGAGGAGGAACAAGTGCCAATGGACTGGAAAGAAGGGCACCTCGTCAAGATTCCAAAGAAAGGAGATCTGAGCAAATGTGAAAACTACAGAGGCATAACACTACTGTCAATACCAGGAAAGGTCTTCAACAGAGTTTTGCTGAACCGGATGAAGGATGCAGTAGACGCTCAACTTCGAGATCAACAAGCTGGATTCCGTAAGGATCGGTCGTGCACAGACCAAATTGCAACACTACGGATCATCGTCGAACAATCGGTTGAGTGGAACTCGTCACTATACATCAACTTCATTGATTATGAAAAGGCATTTGACAGTGTAGATAGGAGGACATTATGGAAACTTCTTCGACACTACGGAGTTCCTGAGAAGATTGTCAATATTATCCGGAACTCATACGACGGACTACAGTGCAAGGTCGTGCATGGAGGACAGCTGACAGATGCATTCCAAGTAAGGACCGGGGTCAGACAAGGCTGTTTACTCTCTCCCTTTCTCTTTCTTCTGGTGGTCGACTGGATTATGAAGACCTCGACATCTGAAGGAAAACACGGAATACAATGGACAGCTCAGAACCAATTAGACGATCTGGACTTCGCAGATGACCTAGCTCTTATATCACGTACACACGAACAGATGCAGATGAAGACAGCCAGTGTAGCAGCAGTCTCTGCATCAGTAGGCCTCAGTATACACAAAGGGAAAACGAAGGTCCTCAAATTCAAAGCGGAAAACAGCAATCCAATCACTCTTGATGGCGAAACTCTGGAAGATGTAGAATCCTTCACATACCTGGGAAGCATCGTCGATGGACAAGGAGGTTCAGATGCAGACGTAAAGGCGAGGATTGGCAAAGCAAGGGCCGCATTCCTACAATTGAAGAACATATGGAATTCAAAACAACTTTCAACCAATATCAAAGTGAGAATCTTCAATACGAACGTCAAGGCAGTTCTACTGTATGGAGCTGAAACTTGCAGAACTACAACAACCACCATCAAGAAAGTACAAGTATTTATAAATAGCTGTCTACGCAAGATACTCAACATCCATTGGCCAGATACCATCAGCAATAGCCTTCTGTGGGAGAGAACAAACCAACTTCCAGCTGAAGAGGAAATTAGGAGAAGACGATGGAAATGGATAGGACATACATTACGCAAATCGTCAAACTGTATCACGAGACAAGCCCTAACTTGGAATCCTGAAGGGAAGCGGAAAAGAGGAAGGCCAAAGAACACATTACGTCGGATAATAGAAGCAGATATGAAAAGGATGAATTACAACTGGAAGGAGCTGGAAAGGATTGCCCAGGACAGGGTTGGATGGAGAATGCTGGTGAGCGGCCTATGCTCCTTCACGAGGAGTAACAGGCGTAAGTAAGTAACATTATCAAACAAAATGATTTTAATTAATTTAGTTTACCTTTCATAATCTGTTGTAATTCCATTTGTAAGGTAACAACTTCACGTGTCGCTGATGCACTTCTTGATAAACGATGAATTGTCAGTTGACCATTACGAACAGCCGCTACATCATCATCTTCTAGAAAAATAACTTTGTCAGTATGTTCAATTAATGCACTAAAAAGAATAGTGAGTATAGGAAAAATTAAAAGAATTTAAGGGATATTAAATATTCATTAATTATAATAAATAATAAATTAAAAATTACGAATAATATCTAAAATATACGCTAAAAAACAGAAAAAGTGAGAAGGAAAAAGTTATTATCAGGGTCATTACATTGCAAATTATAAAAGAAGTGTTATAATTAAGATGATGTGGATCTTCAAGACAGATAAAACAGAAAGAAAATAGTTAATTAAAAACGAAATAGTTAAGTGTTGTCAAATGTATATTCACTCTTTTATTCATTCATTCATATACATTTCTTTAACGTATTTTGATGTTTGTTCTTAAATGCCTAATTGATCATCTTCATTTTCGTCATTTTCTTTCTGTTCTTCCACAATTAGTACATTTGAAGAAATAAGGCATTTTGTAACTAATACATGACTGTACGAAGTTACATTATCCATATTCAGATAGTTAGACAGTTGGTTTGAGAAACGATATCTTTTCGACATTTCCGCTTATGCACCGACAGATTGTAGCCCGGATGCGATCAAGGATGAGCTTTGCCACCAATTGACTATCCTTCTACAGAAAGTGCGTTCAACATATTGCAGTACTAGCCAGAGACTTGAATTCTCAGGTCAAGCGTCTAGGCACAGAAGAAAGTGGTTTAGGTAGCCGATGGGGACTTGTTGGTCGCAGGTCAGACAACGGGAACCGTTTACTGCAACTGTGCGCAGATCACAACCTATTTCTGGCTAGCACTAACTACCAGCACAGTCATCGCCGATGTGCCACCTGGCGTCCTCCCTCTGCAAGTCAAGCCTGGACTCAGTTTGATCACATCGCAATCAGCTACCGCTGGCGTGGTTGTGTACAAGACTGAGGCAGGTGATTTTCTTAAGGAGCCACTCTCCACGCCTTTGACCTAGAGGTCTAGCCCACAAGGCATTAGAGCAACGTCAGGAGATGAAGTCTCATAGTAGCCAGTGACCAATAATTGGTTCATATGTATTTAGTGCCCAATATTTAACAATATTTATGTGCTCAAATAATAAATAATAATACAGTCAATTGTATACATTATTGTTACTTTTACTGCGCTGGGATTTATCATGAAATAATTTTGTCTCATTGTCCTAAAGACGTATGACAACTTGAACTGACGAACTCATGTACGAGGTTCTATGTTGCGTATGACTGAGATATGGCAATTTTTCTAATGACAGTTTAAACGACTTGCTGTACAAGTTGAGTTGTTAATAATAGAAATAGTAAAGATTTATTATACAAATATATTAGGATCTAAGAGTTTACAACACAGGAAAACTCACTAAAAACAATACAGAAATTAAGTATAGTCTCAATTATTTATAGGTAAGGGTCAATGACAACATATTACAGTCTATCGAAAAATAAAGTCTGAAACGTTATAGTTCACTAGTTGGCAGTTGAATTACCAAGGAATCCAAATTGGTCGATGCAGATACATTTCGCTGCTAGTACTACTAATTCAAGCAGTTAACTTTAAAATATACGGTTCAATATATTAAAATCGTTCATAACTTAACATTCGAGTAGTTAATCAGTACCGTTAGAAGTTATGGCAGATACATCTCATTGGATTATTCGACTAAACTCATATTCTTTTTAGTAAAGCTAACGACTACACGCTAGAAATTGTCCCCTCCAAAAGATCAAATCACTGAGTCATAATCAACATAGAGCCTGCAACAAATATGCGTTAGTCCAAGTTAATAAACCATATCAACACAGTGATATGAAATTAACAAAACAAATATCAAAATCAGATCACAATAAATTTTCTGAATCTTAACTACTAATTCAACTAGTTGAAATTCGAATGCCAAAACAATTATTTCGTTAAATTCAGACGGAATGTATTTCAAAATTTACACACGAATCCAGTGATACAGTGATGACTATTTTTTGTTACTTTCACTTACCTTGCACAACTTGCAAAGAAAAACTCGATTTCTCGATGACCATCTGCGCCACTCAAAAAATGTGTCACCTGTTCCATAGATGAATCTCCTAAGTCAACGTGCCCATCATTGGATAACGGTCGAATATTATATTTAGTGTTAGAACCTTTAAAATGATTATTAAATCAACAAAAAAGAATAATAACGTAAGCACTAAGGTTAACAGAGGAACGGAAAAGGTCTTCGATAACAGACACTTGATTGACACAACGGATTCGGCAGTTAATATTAATAGTGAAATAAAATTGGGGCACACAGAAACTAAGATATGAATAATATCTAACTTCAGAAGTACAAACCGATTTATTCAATTACTTGGGACATTATCCGACAACGTTTTATTCGTGAAGCCTTTTCGAAAACAGAGTCTCCTGGTTATCAGATAACCATAAAATATCCAAAGACTAACACAGTAATTGACCAATTTCTAGTACGTGAAACAATATTCAAAACTGTGATGATAAGATTGTAAGCATACTGAATAACTCATTGAGCCAAAAGTCAATCAAGATTAGAAATTGGTTGACACAAAAAGGAAATACATACTCGCGAATGAGATCGCATATTTATTTAATATTTACGATAACTTGAGGGGCAAGGCATTAGTTGATAAAGTTTAATACAACTGTCAATGACTGCACGGACTGATAGCAAGTCTTCTTTTGGTTACCTGTACCTTTCACTCTAGTGCCTAATCGTTAACAATACTATAGACAAATAATTAACCATGATATTTTTGTTTTGTAGCTAACATGTACACCAACGTGACTGTGCACCTTGAGTAACAATTTAGGCACATTTGGATAATATTTATCTCCCTCCAAATGTAAAATGTTGCTTCAGAACTGGTCCGCGTCGACGCTTGAACTAGTGATAGGAAGTGAAGTAGTTGAATGAGTTAACCAACTCACTTATCTCGAAGACCTGACCGGGTCTAGTGGGTTGGTGTCTGACAAAATCTTTTCACTGGTTCAAAGAACCCAGTGGTGTTTGCTTAATTGAGTCGTTTGTGGTGTATATGAGATGTCCGTCCGCCAATTACAGGACATGCATATCACGTAGCAGTCCTTTCTGTCATATCTCATACCTGTGAAACAGTCCATGGAATTGGAGACATGAGTAGGCTGGAGGTTTTAATCATAAGTATTTCTGACCTATCGCAAACCGACCAAGTGAGTGTTCTTGAGGTTAGGGACAGGATATCTAGTGAAGATGTCAAACTAGTCGATGGGGTAGTGGATCTTCATCGACTGAGATGTTTAAGACATGTGTTTCGTACATCTAACCACTGCCTACCTCGACGAGCGACGCTTGATAGTACGAAGATAGGTTGTAATAAAGCTATAGGGGGCCGAATCAGAACATCCCATTAGTCCGTGAACTCGCCGGCTGTTATCTGAGCCATGCTGGTAGATGCAGACTACTGGGGTCCGTGGGATAATTGTGATTAGTGGTTGGAGACGTTGGATAACATGACTCAGAATTGTTCACCATTGTTCAGATGCACTCACCTCTTTATCTTCTCTATCCTTAATCCCAGTATGTATTTATTCATGTTGAAATGTAATATGCCCCTTTCTATTAAAAAACCTGCATATATTATCCGACCATTCTGAAGTGAGTTGGATATCTTTGCATATCTTTGTCTAAATCGGTTATCTGTAGAACACAGTGTGCAGCTAAGGTCCTCATTATTGAAAAATAACTATTCCTATGATTCAGCAAAAACCTAAGCAGCAAATAAACAATTGCGTCACATCTCACCACTTTACAAATCAACAAGAGTCTGTGGTCTAACAAACATAGGAAAGAGTAGTAGTGCTTTGCAAGTCAAAGTGATTGAACATGTAACAAGATAGTTACAAAAAAACATAAAATCAACAAACAAAACCCCTGACTGTACGAAGATTAACCTCCGCCTATGTCCAAAAAATGTTTGTTGAAACTACCGTGGATAATGTTGGTTTATTAACCATAATTTCATGATTCATACTGCATTTCTCATCTCTCAATCTATCAGGTTTGACTGTAATCTCCTAAACCCCTAAGTGTCTCAATAAGTTAATGTGTTATCACCTTGTTTGAAACGTATGTGACAAAGTTTAGATAAACTTCGTGTTTTTATTGCATTACATAAATTCATTAAACGGACTAACTGACAGAATTGGTATTAAGAAAATTAATGTACAAAGAAATATACACGTTGCAATAACCTACTATTCGGTTTATAAAACACTGGTATATGATTCATTGTCAATTCATGCGGACTTTTAATTCCAACCAACATTGGTGAACCCCGCCTAGGAAAAATGATAGAAACATTTAAAATAAAGAAAAGTTATTCCAAAATTAAGATTTAGTTTCAATAAACTATATATAGAATACTTTACCGAATAATTACTGTTTGTAATATCCCAATGATAAATTAATATTTGTGTTAAACTTAAAAGGTAAAACATCTATAACATTCAGTCAGCCAACCAGTCTTATGCAACATAAAACCTAACATATGTTCACTGACTCAAGATGCCATAATACAATAGTACATTGAAATAGAGCTATTCCAAGACGAATAATAGAATAGTAGAAGCAGTAACAGACATCACTAACAGTAAAAAAACAGGTATAAGAAAAGTAAAAACAAATAGAGATATTTTGGGACTCAGACTCTAGAGGAAGATAGTTATTGCAAACGGTTTTGACCCGTGCCATTCAGTCTCTAACCATTGATTACGATAATTATGCGGACCCAAAACAAGACTACACCTACCAACATGGCTCAGTCCAGTTGTCAATGACTTCATGAACTGATGCCACGTTTTGGATTGCCTGCCTATAGCTTCCTTCTAACCAACTCCACCAAACAAAGTCGTCTGTCGAGGTAGACAGTGACTGGAAATACGTAGCACATGTCCCAACCACCTCAGTAGATGAAAATCCCCTACCTCTCCAATCGATTTGATATCTTTTATTAGTACGCTATGGTCAACTTCGGTATTGTTCACTCGGTCATCCCAAAATACACGAGTAATGCTTTCGATACGCATATAATTAAACACTAGTAACCTACGAATATCTTCCATTCTTAATGATCATGTGATGTGGAGAGCCAGTCAGAAGTAACCAAATGAGGTCAATCAATGGCAATTAGAAATGACCTGAAGGACAAGTACGTTTCATCGGCTAGGAAATGGACTGATTTTCTAAGGGGTAAAGTTGTAGATATATATGAGTATTTGTGCATTTTATTCAGTAGCCCAATATACTTTCTCGTCCACTCCTGTGTTCGCGCTCAAGTAGTTAAGTGGAGAGTTAGCGTCTAGCACATCGTGTATCAATGTCGGATTACGGACGCCGCCCATCACAAAACAATGTTCTACAGTCATACGGTAGAACGGAGAGAACTGCCGTGAAGTAAATTCGTCCTGTGGTTGACAGACGGATCTCTCACCTACTCCATAAATAACGCGATTTGGCAATAGCCAATCGAGCTTTCTGAATCCGTATCGAGATTTCACCAGATACCAGACTATTAAGACTGATGAGACTCCCAAGATAAGTAAAACGGTCGATACGCTCAACTACATGACTCTCTACTATTAATTCAAGAACTGAAGTAGGACAGCTTCAAAGTAACATTTTGCATTTCAATGTAGAGAGTAGCATACCGAACATGCTTGCATTGTTGCATAAGGTGAACATAAGACTACATTTTGTCAGCGTCTTCACCAAATAAGACTATATAATCTGCGTATTGTACGTCAACGAATTAACCTCTTGGTAGGAGAACAATAGCTGAAGGTTCAGACGACAGTGTTATCTCCAAAAGGATGTCTGTGACAAAAAATAAGAATGGAAAAAGCAGACAGCTATCACGAGGTTGACAATTCCTATGACAGTTCGTTCTAAGCTCCAACTCGACCAATAGTGATTGCGTAGAGCCTTTACACGGTTTATGTACTTCTTTGGTACGGTTTTCAATGATAGACATTATCACATAATCTCTCAATCAATACTGTCGAGGGCTACTTTAAGGTCAAGAAATACGAATAAAGTCGGATAGTTAGGCATAGGATTATTGTTGAACCTGATATTTTAGATACCATATTAGTTAATCAAACATACAAGACTAGCAAATTAAGTAAACTAAACAAAAATAGTTTTAGATGCAACAGAGCACAAGTTCATGAAACGCTATATTGAATCTACTGTGTCAGGATACTTATCTGGCTTGATTACCAGACAAAACATTTTACACAAAAAGTAAGGAAGATTACTTTACGTTCAGAAATATATTGAGGCAATTGTAATGTGAATAAGATTATCTAGATGTCGAAAATCTAAACACTGACAGGTATTTATTGCGTTTTGGATAAATCACTGTAGTTAAAAAATAATTAGCTAGACAAATAAGCCACAAATGTCTGAAACAGTACAAATCAGAGAATTAAAATGATGACAACAATTCGGCTTCCAAAGTACTGCCGGAAGTACTTTTTCTCGTGCACATATTTATTAATGAACTTTGAACTGCTAATTAATTGAACTTCTCGCACTTAATAAACTATATCTAATCCATATCTTATTCTCTTTTTTGATCAACGGTTTCGAGTCAATCTTTACTTTTAATATGATAGTGTAGTGAACGAGACTCAGGTGCGGAAAACTAATTTGTTATTTCATGCAAAACTACAGTGATTTCGTAAAATATGAAAATCATACATTAAATATATTATTTGTACATCTTGCTTCAGTTGTCCTGTACCTACATTTTCATTCTACGAATTCGGTTATCCCAACTCCTTTCTGTTTCGCTTTTGTTCTCTTCAATTCAATTTTCTGTCGCCAGGCATTCCACCTCCGATTAGTACTAAATAATTATTTCACTACTTAGTCATATCTGTACTCATTGAACATTGAATAAATGAGTAAAAACAAAACCCAGATTAAAAGTTTCTTGTTGACTATGTTCAACGACTAATAAAATAAGAATGTTAAGCTTGTTTGGCAGACTAGTGATGTTATTAGTGCAGGTGTTACACTAGTTTATCCACTTGACTTTCAACTAGCACTTTATAAGCCTCAACCCAAAGGGATGGAGCCCGGCAGCTAAGCATTGTTGTATTCGCCATTACGTGGTGGACGTTCATCTTCTAACGTTATAAGAGTCATTTGGGTTTTTTGGAATTACAATGGACCAAATTCCAAAACTCACTGTATAGAAAGAATTATATGCATTTATAAAATGCTAGCCAATGAGTTTTCAACCGATCATTTAATGGTAATGTAATCACTATGAAATAATGAGAAACAATTAGTTGTAGAAATAAATTATCTTAAATAAAACTATGAGTAATGTTAGAAGACATCTACTCCACCGAGACATATGGTGTTTAGTCGGTCCACATATATTCTTAAAACTTTATGGTAAAAACTTGTACTACTGAATCGGAAAATTAAATGAGCTAAATTTTCCAACACTTTAATATCTGATGCTAAATGAGAGAATTTAATGAAATATACCGAGAAAGTAACAGAAACGCTTACTGACCTTGCCACAACACATTCACCAGGGTAGTAACAACTTTTGGATGCCAATGCAAACGATCCTTCCTAAAACATAAGTGGCAAAATAGAACACAATAGTTCAGTAACAATCAACACAATGTCTATAATATACAGGATTCATACACATGGATATATTAAAAAATTTCGTATAATAGATTTCTAATACATCAATTTAAGTTCATTACATTAATCAACTAGTTCGTAATGGAATATGAACACAAACAGATTCAACGTGAAACTTTGAACACAGGCTCTTAAATTTAAGCTATCACATGTAACAACGAAGAATGTTCAAAAGAAAGAAAATATGTAGATAACAAAGGCTATGGGTTGAGAAGAAAAAAAATAACAAGTAATAACATTTTGAAGAGTTAGAAAGTAAAAAAGAATGCGTCTGTGTTTTTGAAACCTCATCTAGCCACACCATTTAGGGTCTCTAATAACTTATTTCCATAACCTCAATGAATTCATCGAAATAATTTGCAGCTCATCACATAATTCACAGAAAAAATCAGTGAAATCATGAGCTGGGTACGTATTAGCGAATGACCAGTCTTAGCTTTTATCCAACATAAGCTTATATTATCCAGTATCGTAATCTACTTAAGTTATGTACCTATAACTCCTATCACTGAGAGACATAAAGTAACACATAACGGGCATCTTTTGCAGTATATTCACTCTTAAGTTGATAACAGGTTGGTAATTGTGAAACGGGCTCATATTTTCGCTGAGATATCGTTGGTAACTCTGACTCCTCAGGGATGATGCAATATTTTCAATAAGTTGCATACACCCACAAACACTTCATTTCCTATCCACAAGCTATTTTTAGTGAAAACCATATATATATATATATATATATATATATATATATATATATATATATATATATATATATATATATATATATATATATATATATATATATATATATATATATATATATATATATATATTAGCAGACTTACCAGTTGCTGAGCAACCAATTCAACAACTTCTAAAAAGGTAATAGGATTTTCTTTATGTGAATCATAAATCATTTGCATAAATTTTGGAATCACTTCTGTATCTGTTTCAGATTCAAATATATAACCGCGACGACTCTATGAGTGGTAAGAGACCATAAAAAGGGTTAAAAAATACATTATGCATTGGAAATTGAACAAAAACGACAATGATAATAACACTGACGGATGTTAACACACATAGAAGGCAAATCTATTACTGGGCATGAGCGACTTCATCCATCAAATAGATTAATGGATGGAAACATTTTATTCTATATTGAGTAATTTCAGGCTGTCGACCAAACTTCCAATTCCGTTGTAATATATTAGTAAAAAATATACACTAAAAACTCGTCTTTCCTGAGGTCAGATACCCCGAATTCATCGTCGAAATCCTTATTATTGTGCTTTTCGAGTCATAAATAAATCGGTTAGACACTAAGGATTACAGTTTTGTTGCCTTGGTTTCACATTTAAAAACCAAACGGTACACATTATTATCCAAAAACCGAGAATCAGCAATATAATTTGAATGTATATACATCAATCGATCTTTAAACACTGGACTATGTTGTAGCTAACTAGCTCCTAGTATAGTTGAATCTGACCAGTCAAATATTCCTTAACACAACCAATAAGTACAGTGAATGAACTATGACTTAGTTAAATCAACATTTCGGAATAGAGATAATACAGATTGAGAATATGGGAGTGATGCTTAGTAGGCCCAATCGATCATTATTCTTAAGCGAGATAGTATTTTATTTCAATATATAAATTTCATCCGGAATACCTCGGATAATTCATTGGAAAAAAACATGTATGACGTGTAAAAAAACGGTTTACTTTGTGAACTCTAAAACCTACTAATCTGTCCTAGATGCTCTTTGTAACCAATACATTTGAATGAGATGAAGTAAAAAGTATTAAAAATATAACACGAGGACATGTTACGAACAAAGCAAGGCAACTGGTATATATAAATCGGTTTCGCAGAAAACGTAACATTTCTAAACAAGTCTTGTCCAGATATAATTCCAGTCATCACCTGATTACTTCTGAACAGTTCACCATAACTTCGACTTCACATATCATAATAAATATATGATTTCACTGTCTAACAAATGAAGTCCTCGCCAAGAAACCGAAAGATGCCAGGTTTAACTCCAGAATGTGTTTACCAGTGACATGTATTGTTGTTCCACTTTTATTAACACCACTTATTTTATTAGGATCTATATTTAGACTAAAAAATTAACTTACCAGTAATGCCCTAAGATCTACGTGGTTGGTTATAATACCATTGTGCACTACAACGAACCCGTTGTCAGGTCCAGAACGTTGGGGATGAGCATTTACTTCATTTGGCTCCCCATGAGTTGCCCATCGAGTATGCGCTATGCCAACATGTGTTGTGATTAGTTCATTTGGAAAGTCATGATCGGTTAGAAACTCTAAATAAACGATACATTATTCTTAAATTAAACTCTTGGCGTATACAGAATAAGTTATGCGTAGATCCCACAAAATAATTCCACATTAACCATAACAAAGTGAAGTGTTTTCTAATATAACCATTTCTTGAGTAAATTTATGGGCGGGGTGTATAAGAAGAAATTTTAGATCACAATGGAACGTCTTCAGAGTAAACTAAATTAATGTTGATAATTAAGCCTGTATAAATCAATATAAAATCGAACATACTTCGAAAAACATAAAGTTGCATTCACTGAAGTAAAAAATCCCAAAATGAATATAAGTCGCTTAACATTCTTAGGTATCTTGATGATAACTACTCTTAAATACGAGATGTCTCACACTTTCTGTTTTCCCACAATGAATTGTAATTCAACATATCACTTAGCTAAGTCGTAGTGCTACTACTAATCCCAGTTGACAATCTCCCTAGAACTAATGATTGCAAGATAATCTCAATGATAACCTAACGATAATTAATATAAATGAATTAGTACGATAATGACGAGTAGAGTTTACTAAACAACTTGAATGGACAAAAAATATAACCACTCCCTTCGTCCCGACATTTAATGTCCGGGTGGACCGCAGTGATAATCAAAGACATCTATGGCTTTATTTACTAGTTAGCTAAAATACAACTTGGCAAATAATTCAGCTGACCTAATATTACAACAGACAGTCATATTTCATCAATATATAGTCTAGCATATCTGAGATGGTTCAATTTCCAATAACTGAGATAACTATCACGAAAGAGATAGCGATGTAGTAGCAAAGAAAAGGAGAAAGACTAAAGCTGTTCCGGTTCGCCCCCTATAGCTTTATTACAACCTATCTTCGTACTATCAAGCGTCGCTCGTCGAGGTAGGCAGTGGTTAGACGTACGAAACACATGTCTTAAACATCTCAGTCGATGAAGATTCACTACCCCATCGACTAGTTTGACATCTTCACTAGATATCCTGTCCCTAACCTCAAGAACACTCACTTGGTCGGTTTGTGATAGGTCAGAAATACTTATGATTAAAACCTCCAGCCTACTCATGTCTCCAATTCCATGGACTGTTTCACAGGTATGAGATATGACAGAAAGGACTGCTACGTGATATGCATGTCCTGTAATTGGCGGACGGACATCTCATATACACCACAAACGACTCAATTAAGCAAACACCACTGGGTTCTTTGAACCAGTGAAAAGATTTTGTCAGACACCAACCCACTAGACCCGGTCAGGTCTTCGAGATAAGTGAGTTGGTTAACTCATTCAACTACTTCACTTCCTATCACTAGTTCAAGCGTCGACGCGGACCAGTTCTGAAGCAACATTTTACATTTGGAGGGAGATAAATATTATCCAAATGTGCCTAAATTGTTACTCAAGGTGCACAGTCACGTTGGTGTACATGTTAGCTACAAAACAAAAATATCATGGTTAATTATTTGTCTATAGTATTGTTAACGATTAGGCACTAGAGTGAAAGGTACAGGTAACCAAAAGAAGACTTGCTATCAGTCCGTGCAGTCATTGACAGTTGTATTAAACTTTATCAACTAATGCCTTGCCCCTCAAGTTATCGTAAATATTAAATAAATATGCAATCTCATTCGCGAGTATGTATTTCCTTTTTGTGTCAACCAATTTCTAATCTTGATTGACTTTTGGCTCAATGAGTTATTCAGTATGCTTACAATCTTATCATCACAGTTTTGAATATTGTTTCACGTACTAGAAATTGGTCAATTACTGTGTTAGTCTTTGGATATTTTATGGTTATCTGATCTAACTATCTGTTTAATCCCTTGAATTGATAGTGTACAATAGTTACATCCTTTTTTCAAATATTATTACTGACATGTGCTCTTTTAACACGTTTTCCTAATCGATTGGTAGTGTGGCTCAGAGTTATTTGTTGTTAATGCCTTTTCTATATTTTTGCTTTTGTTACCTACCACACGCCACGATCATTGAATAAACGTTTCGTTAGTTTACATTTGAGTTGTCGCTTTTCATAGTTCCTCAAACTCTGTCAATCTAGTGGACGACACTGAAATCCACTGGTTTTTCCTAACTTTCTGATCTAAGTAGTCGATAGATACCGTTTTTGTACCTACAGCTGCTAGGACATGTTTCCGGATTTCTTCCGAAACTTTATATGTGGTCAACTAGTTGCTTAGCTAATTCTTTCCTGAAGGGATCGTTGACCGCATGATCGAACTGATACCCATGAGATCTTGATTCAACTTTTCCATACATTATTAGATAATTTACTTCTACTCATGCCGAGCAGATCCAATTACCATTTAATCTTCCGGAAATCACTTGGTTTTGGGATTATATAAAGTCACAGTCCTGTAGTATATTCACGATAATTAACTGAAAATTCGCGTACTGAAATAATTTATGTATATATAGAAATGTTTAGGAACAAATAGACTTAATAATGTGCAGGTGTATAATAAGAGACAGTGAAACACACCTTTAACAGCTTGTCCCAGTGATGCTACTTTTCCTTTACAACGAACAACTCGAGTAAACGTTTTGTGAAACCCATCATTATTAGATAAGTCATTCTGTTCTGAGCAAACGGCGTCGACTGCTAGTCCTGCAGAATCATAACCACGATATTCTAATCGATGTAAGCCATTGAGCAAAGTGTTTACGATGACTTGACGTGTAACCGGAACTTGATAATTTAGGTACGCAAATATTCCTAAGCCAAGAGAAAAAGGTTGTTAGGTTTGTTGGTAAATGATTGCGGGATTGAAAAGCACAAGAAAGCAACTGATTAGGACATACATGAACTATATACAATGTCAGGACCTACGAGCCTAGTTGTTTTTAACTATCCAAGTAATGAATTAAACCAACCAATAAAAATTTAGTTCTACAACTAAACCTAGCTTAATTTACGGACGACACAAAGCTCTTGTCTAGCATAAGGTGCGTCAATTTTCATGAATAAGTAAATTTTCATTACATTTTGACCTACAACTCATGGAGATGATGTACGAAATTATGATAGTACAACTGTACATCACGCGAGTAACATAGGTACTAGAAAAGTATGATAATGGATTACTATCCCAGGTCATCTATTAATTAATGTGTCACTATGTGCATAAGGACTTCCTAAGTTACTTCAGTTGGTAGGGTGACGAACGCATCTACGAAACCTAGCGATCCCCTAAAACTACTCCAAAATGCATTTATATGTAAGACTTTGAGCTCATGTCGGCAAACTCCTGCCTGGTAATGTGATAGCTTCTGGCATCCAGAAACCTTACTGCCCTGAAAAGAACCCAATCATTACAAAGTATACAAATTCACAAATAGCATCAAAACTGACTAGAATTACTGCAGTCGAGTGACTAAACCACTACACATTGAACATAACCAAATACCCTAAACCGTACAGAGACAACAACAAGCGAGCGCGAAGAAACCAATCGACTTATAAAAGCTCATAACAAAGATATTGTATCTTGGGAGTTACGTTTCCACGTAACACTGCATTTAGCACTCGATTATCAACATAGTGGAGAGAAACTAGAGTTCAGATAAAAATAAAAAGCACAAGTAACACTTATATAGGTTTTTCTTAGAACATAAAATCCCAGAATATGCTACTTAATACATACCACACATCCTACGGTGAAAACGTAACGACAAACAAAATAAAGCGCTCAATCTTCTAGCATTCAATATTTGCGTACATATGCCCAGTTCAAAAATTAACTATCCGAAATCTTTGTGATAATCTTATTTTAGTCAGTTGATATCTCTGTGCCTACGTATTGTTGGTACGACTCATTCCCAGTTTGCCTCCAATCCGAAAACCTTATTTCGTCGTGCAGCCTCTCTTCGACAGGACACAAACCAGGGTTTTCCAACAATTTGGTCCCAATAGCCTAATCAAAAACGTAGGTGGTGTCGTCGAACTTCTGACAAAACAGTTCACTCGGACATTTCAAACGACCCATACGACTATATTGATGAGAGATTCACCTGCAACCTCACAGGACATTCGGAAGTGAACCTTAGCGTTTACTTGGTGTACCGGAAACTATTGCACGTGAAAGACACTTTTCCTGTCCCGAATATAGTTCAGTCTGCTATGCTGAGGGAAGCAGCTTTAATCTTAGCAAAACCGCTTGGGGTGATGTTCACAAATTCACTAGGCTTAAGCACACTAACAGGAAATTGGATGCCGGTTCACATCAAACAAATTTTTAAGGGATTTCGACGCGAAAAATTTTCAAGACATCGACTGGTGGCTCTTCTCTTCATACCCTCAAAACGTATGGTGTGCTTTGTGTACGACAGTCTACACGACTACTTACCATCCATAAACTTCTTTTCACCACAACATCAGGGTTTCAAAGAAGGCCACTCGTGTAAACTAACCTGTTGACCGTAGCAGAAAAATGGACAACCATACTTGTTCTCAAGGGGGAGGTTGACGTCATATACCTTGACTTCTCAAAAACTACTGATAGGGTTGTGGTAGCCTACTTTCAATAAGGGAACGCGATTGGTGTAATGCAAACAATTATTATTATAACCAGTTGTACCAGGGATTGTTTTACAGTAGTTGTTTGTTCAACTGTACCAAAATACTTGCATTCTTCCGTTGGTTGTGACCTTGCACGAATCCGGTTACCCTCGGCGACCACGCCTGTAACCTGGCACGGTCTCGGTATTCTTTCGATACCACGAGACCGCCAACAAACACATCTCGACTACAGCCATCAGCTTCCTTTTGATATTTGGCCTACAGGTGATTTATCGGTTAACTGGCACGTAGTCTTCCAGTAGTAGTGGTCATAGTCAACCGATACTCGACGTCACACTACAGAGTCAGCCATATATGTCTTCTCAATGAACTCTGATCATCCGGTATCAAATTACCTCCAGTCGATTGGTTCACTTCGTATCTAAAAAGTCGATATTATGAGGTCAGGGTTGACTTCACTTTCTCTCATGCTATGGAGTTCTTCAGTGAGGTCCTCCAGGGTTCATTAATGGGATCTCTTGTTTTCTTGATTCATATAAACAATCTTCCACAGTGGGGGTCGTATTTACCGCTTTTCACCGAGGATCTTAAACTGGATAGAAGAATGAAACCAAGAGTATAAACTGGCAGTTTTTGCAAACTTGATCTCATTTTAGATGGTTCATGCAGCGACAACTACATAATAGTCTGTACTTTGGGATTTGTACTGAATCAAACAAATGAAAAGTGGTCCACAGCTTCAAGCACCTTGGAATTAGTTGCATTACCACTACTACTATTATTATTATTATTTATTTAGCCGGGAGCATTGTGCAACACCACATCACCAATGTTTATTGCACATGAGCTTTGTCCATTTCAATAATTTTCAATTACTACATTTCATATAATTCGTTTTCTACCTTATGCTTGCAACCAACTTGTATGCACCGTTGGCCGGTAGGTGTGAATGTAAATAACATTGAGTCTAGAGCATGTCTCAAGTATACTGTTAGGGATGCAGAGGAATATACCAGTCATTATCATGTTAGGTCTAATGATGTCCTTGGACTTTAAATGGACATTTCCTATTGGTCGATATTTGTTCACTTGTTAAATATTGTACAAAATGTTGTTTTCTATTTTATAATACGATGTGGTTGCTTGATGGGTATATAAACAGAGCATGTTTGAAATATAACGATTCATATCTCAGAGGTTGTGACTTGTGTTCTGGACTCAACTGGCTGGGCTAGACAGGGAAGCGGGACCAATCAGAGCCCTAGGTCATTCGTACGTGTTTACGTGTCACCGGATCGATCTATAATAAACTGCTTTCTAATCTTTCAGTCAAGGACGTTTTGTGCCCGTTTGATCTGACTCCAAGATCGTATAAATGTTTTTAGATTGTATGGATGTTTGTTATCGCATATTCTCGTATATCATCGTCGACTTAAATCACGTTAGTCAATAACGGAATTTAGATAAGTTAAATAACGAGAATGGGATTTTGAATACATATATTTTGTATGTAAAGTGAATGTAATAGAACAGAGCAAAATGACGCGCAGGGAAGATGGCTGGGAAGCCAACTCCATTTTAGTCAAGCGTTACTCAATATTTATAGTCAGACAAAATAAAGCTACAGACATGTGATTAATAGGATAAGAAGGGTACACACATATACGCTCATATAAAAACAGTCTAGATTGACAAGCGAATAAATAACAAGGTCGAAGTATGGCTCGAGTAGAATGAATAAAATGGGATGTCCGGAAGCTAGAATAAGGTATATGGGCTTGGCATAATAACTGACACTACAGACGCAACGATTGGCACGGGGTAAAAATCTACCCCAAGCTTAAAGTCACAACAATTGGCACGGGGTAAAAATCGACCCAAATTTAAAGCCATAAAAAATACACTCATGATTGACAAATGACTTTTAGTTATCTGTACATAATGCATAAAATTATCAAGAACTTTTGATAAACATTCATATGTATTAGTAGTACCACTAAATTCCATCCCGGGATGCTTACTTTCTCATCGGCGTTTTCGGTGAAGTGCCAGGTTTCAGCTCAAATTATGTTCTTCAGATTCAATTGAAAACATATTTCTGAACTTTCTTAATTACATTTTAGTCCTTTAACGTTGATATACAGACGGGTCTGTCATACGAATGCCCGAAGCTTGCTCGGCAGACGATCGGAGATGGGTGTACAGATTGACTCTTTCAAGCCAGATGTAGTCGTAGTCATAGAAACGTAGTCGGCGCAGTCTATATACAGTATGGAAGTTGATTCTGAAGGTTTCATGCTAGTAAGAGCCAACAGAACCCAGAAGCGTCAAAGAGGATTGGCTTTATCAATTAGAACCACTATTCCATTTATCGTTATTTATAACGTATCGCATGAGAGCGGGACTTGAGAACGAATTAGTTGCCGATCGAAATGCAAAGGTAAAGCGCTGATGATAGATTTGGTCTGCCGCAGTTCAAGCTATGAGACAACTGAGGTCTTGACAAACAGTCTCAATACTCGGTTAAAAAGCAGCCGATGTATAATCTTAGGAGGCTCTAATGCATCTACGGTGGGCTGGAAAAATCTGAGAACTGGATTGTCAGAAAATTTCTTCAAACAGGAACTAGTTGATGTGGTTGTGACACGTGCCCTAGTGAAACATGTGATTGAAGCAACTAGGTACGAGCCGGGCTATGAATCACTCTGACTAGATCTTATATTACCTCGACCCTCACTAAGTGTAGGTTGTCCGGTGAAAAAAATGTTAAGGAATCTATAGGGTGCCCTACTAGCTTGTATTCGTGTATAAACCAAGGGACTAAAGAAAGAGGAAATATTCCAGCACTATGAAAAGATAGTAATGCCTCATCATTAAAGAGGACGACCATGGTTACGTTCAAGTATTCTCAAACAACTTTAGTAGTGTTTATTCCGTAGAGACACCCTGTCAACTTATACACCACCCATACACTGAACACTACGACCATAAAGAACTCGATGCCTCTGGCCTGCTAAATAAGCTTGATATAGGAAAACCACGGGATCCGGTGAAACAGCCTAGGTCACTAAAAGAATTAGCACATTTCGTTGCGAACCCCTTAAACATTTGTTCAGTAACCCATGGTTGATTACAAAAACGCCACAGTAAGTCTCATCTTCACAACAGGAACGGAATATGAATCTGGGAACGACCCACCTGTTAGCCTAATCAGCGTGGTTGGTAAAATTTCAGAAACCATTGTTTGGGAGGAGCTGTTTAAGCATCTTGACAAAAACCTGATTCTTTCTAAAAAGCAGCTTGGTTTAAAATAGATTATTCCTGTCTCACTTACTTATTAGTAGCTTGCGAAACGTGGTGTTCTCTTAAATACCAAAAGTTACATATAGACCTAGCCTACATTAACTTCAGGAAAGGTTTTGACAAAGGTCCTCACAATCGGCCGTTATATAAATTAAGAAATGTCGGGGTTGGAAGAAAACTATTAACGTGGATAGACGACTTTCTAGTTGGACGCCAACAATGAGTACGGATAAACTCGAGGTTACATAATTAGAAAACTGTGCTTAGTTGGGTGTTTCGGGGCACAATTTTGGAGTCAATGTTGTTCCTCATGTAGGTGAATGATATTACAAGACTCTTATCACCACCAGATATACACTATTATCATAAGATATAAAGAGTGATTTGAAGTGGAGGTGATAGTTTAGGGATTTGAAGTAACCCGGTAAAATTATCCGAATGGTTTGGAATTCGGCAGTTGCCGACAAATGCTTCCGAAACATCATGATGAATTGGGAGTCTTCGCTATCTGAGACTTAAGAACTACTGCAGTGTCGTGTGATATCTGACGAGGGTTTTGCAACCTTATGGTTAACATGTTGAGTTTTTCTCCAGGTTGATGATATAACCGTTTCGAATTTATATAGAGTGTTCGTTCGTTCTAAAGTCGAATACTGTATACAAGTGGCTGGCTCTTAACTTTAAAGACACAGTAATCTGTTGTAAAGGGTTCAAAGAACCGCAAGTAATCTGGTTTCCAGAGTAGTGAAGCTCCCATACGATGATGAATTAGCCTAACTAAACCCATTTCTGTTGTCATATGGAGTAACCAGAGGTGGCTTGATCATAT